GAAACATTTTTCTCTATCCCTACTAGTTTTCGAGATATTTGACTGGATCACTTCAGATGGTCCACCCTGTATTGTTACATCTACAAGATAATATGGAAAAATCTCGAACGCGCGTGATACAACTGTTCAGCATACGCTATTTCTATAATCACATTTGCATTTACTAAGAAACATACTTTGGCTGTGTTCCAAATGTACTGTCAGTGCTGAAAATGCTATAGTTCACGTTACCAGGGAATGGAAGTAACTCGTTACTTGTAACGAAGTTACAGTTACAAGTTACTTTTTTGATAACTTTACTAGTAACTGCGTTACTCTTTTCTTTGGTAACTGTAACGGTAACGAAGTTACATTTTTTTGGTAACTGTAACGAATTTTACAGTTACTTTTATCGTTACTTTACACATGATTGGACACGATACGACACAAGCCACTTACACTGTAAAAAAATTTCGTAAATTTACACATAATAAATGTAAAATAGATTACATGATTAGTTCTGTAATTATAAAAAAATCATACAATTTTGCAGAAATTATGTAATTCCACAAAAATTATGTAAATTTGTTTTTATTGTGTAAATATATCTTATTTTATATTGGAAATTATGTAAATAGCAGGATATTTTGAATATTTTCTGTAATTATCCAAATTTTAGTAATATTACGTAATATAAAAGAAATTTTTCGCGTATTGTTGTTAAATGTATAATAATATATAGTGCGAAATATATTCATATTCAAATATATTCATATTATCGTTCCTGTAGCTACACATACACATTGTAATTGTACTTCCACAATCTGCTTAGTTCCAAACCAAGAAATTATTTTTATTTGCATATTGCAAATATACAAACGTGTGAACGTTTACAACTATTATAGTGGATCTCAAAATTATCCATTATAATAGTTATAATTTTACACAATTTTTTACAATGCGCTTGAGACTAGAGAAGCCTCTAGGCCAGTCCGCTGTGATTGTTGGTCGTCGATTTAAAAAAAAGTAACGGAAAAGTAACGAAAAGTTACTTTCTCAAGTAACGGTAACTGTAACGAGTTACTTTTAAAAATCGGTAACTTGTTACTTTTCCTACTGGGTAACGAGTAACTGTAACTTGTTACTTTTAAAAAGTAACTTTCCATTCCCTGCACGTTACATACACTATAGATTTTCAGTATAGGCAGTCAATTTTAGAACATAGCCTTTATAAAAATGCAAAACTTTAAGGATGTATTGTATACACATAAAGACACATTTAATAACACATTTTATGCTTTAGGTTAGTGATTATAATGGCATTATACTAGCAGTAGCGGCAAATCACGGAGGTCGGACACATGATGCTAGAGTTTACAACTCGTCTCGGTTATCGAGGCACATGTTGAACCAGTATGAAAATGGAAGGAGAAATGTATGGTTGTTAGGTAAGGCTTTTACACACACACGTTAAAATCAATATAAAATTGAAAATAATAACATTAATCTACAAGAAAATATAAATTAACAGAATGGATGCAAAGCCAATGTGAACAAAATACAGGGTGATCGAGTGCAAATTCCATATATTTAAGATAAAAATTACAGACGTTTCAACCCTTAGTATTAAGTCATCCTCAGTATAGTAATGGGTATATATCAATTGAACACGTTGCAATTGGATATCAGCCAATCAGCGTTTGAATAGTGGAAAGGCTCTAGGCACCGGTCGCTGTGAGTGGTTATGGACAATTGATACAGTGTGCAAGTGAACTGCTCCCTATAGTAATTAATAGAAGTAAAGAAAATTAAATTGTTACGTGTATCGTTAAATGTTGTTATATGTTAAACTCTAAGGGACCTATTCTGTAACTCTTAACGACTCTAAGGATATCGTTAAATTATCGTTGCGCAGCTATTTTGCAGTATACAAAACCTGCGTAATGATAATGTAACGATATCGTTGCAGTTGTTAAAAGTTACAAAATAGGCCCCTAAATGTCAATTGTAAGTATTTAACAAAATTACTTATCGACCGTGGATCAATAACAACTAAAAAATAATTAAACGGCTTCTTCCACGAATACTAGCTGAATTTAGTGCAGGATCATAGAATAATCCATATTTATTATAAATCATATTACAAACCAAACGTTTCGGTCTGTCATCAGACCATTCTCAATAGTATTACATTCAATTATGAAAAATTTTCGCAATGAACTTATACAGACTAAAATCACTCAAAATGTCAATATACATATCGCTGTCAAAATTAGTTAAGATGAATTATCGAAGTATCATGATTTTCGTCAACTGCAAGACCCATGGAAACATAGTATGTCATATCGTTTAAATGATTTTCATCCTCAGCTTTATATGAAAACAAGTATGTTCTACCTTTTAAAAAATTGTTATTTTAAATTACGTTTATATATTCTATTTTGAATTAATATTATAAAATTACTTACATTAAAGGTGTGATTAGCAATTATCTACTCCTTAGTAATAATCTTATTTCATTATAATCATTCGACGCACCATTACCTGATACTAACATAATAATATTTTATTTTAATCAATTAAAATGACTAACTTAATAATTTCACACAGCTTTGTAATACCTGCGTAGAATCGTTACAATGTATCGCCGCATATACTGCACAATTTGTCAAAGACATTATTCTTTTCAACGCTGATAACCGTTATTATATCGAATGCTAAGACGAACTGCGAGAAACTGTTTCGTATGTTCTGACCTTCAGTATTTATATTGAAGGCTAATGAGAACTTATATGCATTCAAAACAACATCACACAATGCCTAGCAAGGAAACGTAAGCTTCTGGAAATTTCTGAGTGTCAATCTGCTTATTTAAACCATTTTCTTGTTTTTTGATAAAAATCATCTCTGACGTTAGTCTTTTGAAAAGATACTGTTCTTTGTCCATAATCTTTATATCATCCCAATTAAAATTATGACCATAATTAATATGATGTTCAGCTAAAACGGAACTACAATATTTTTTATTTTTTATATCTTGTTGATGTTCATGTAAGTATTTAACTGAATACATAAACCAGTACATTTAGTATTATATTGCAAACATAAATGATTGTCTGTTAAGTTACGACGTGCTTACAGTGAGACGAAATCCTACTTCTATTAATTACCATACTGGACTTAATATTAAGGTTCGAAACGTCTGTAATTTTTATTTGAAATATATGGAATTTGCACTCGACCACCCTGTATTTGGTTCACATTGGCTTTGCATCCATCCTTTTTTTGAATAAAGATTAATATAAATTTTGAATAAAGATTAATATAAAAAAAATAAATTTAAACATTGAATTGTATTGAAGAATTAATGTTATTTTTTTATTTTTAAACTTGTGTTTTGTTTTCTAGGAGATTCTGGCTATCCATTATTGCCATATTTAATGACTCCAAAACTAAATCGACCACCAGGATCTCCAGGTGCATCATATACAGATGCTCACGCTGTAGCACGAAGCTCCATAAAGAGAACAATAGGAGTACGGAAAGGACGCTGGAGATGTTTGCGTAAAGAAAGAGGTTTACATTATTCACCAGAATTTGCAGGTATTGTAATTTATTCTTATATTTTATTTTTAAAATGTTGAAATTATTGTAGAATTTATTGTTATTTTTATTTCAGCACTTATAGTAAATGCTACTTGCGTATTGCATAATATTGCTAAACATTATAATGTTCCGGATGTTGAAATATACAGAGAAGATGAGCAAGAAAATATTGAAGCAGAAGACAATATGCGTGCAGATATGCGTGCAAGAGGAAATATAGTGCGAGAAACAATAATTGAAAGATATTTTACATAGAAAACTTAATTTTATTTTATATTTTATGTATTACACAATAAAAATAAGTATCACAGTTTTATACATAGTTTCAGTTAATCTACATTACGTAACTCAAGTAAACAAAATAAAATAATCAAACTTAAACAAACTTAATGATTTCTCTTAATTGTTTCTACTGTCCTCTCATATCCTATTTTAGTAACTCAAAAACATCACAAATCATTATAACCATGTATCACTTGATCTTAAATAAATCTACATAAAACACGCAAGTTTATAATTTTATATACATATATAATAATGTTATATTTAGGAAGACCATCATATAATTACACAAAGAAAATGAAAGCTATTGCTGTTTTTGTCAGTAAAAAATTGCTTGTTTGCAAGTAGAGCATTAAATGAAAAAATACTAGGGACATTTAAAAAAATCCTTAATATGCAGGATATTGTATATAATTTATTACAAATTAATATCATCAAATCAAAAAACTTTTTGATAACAGTTCGAAAAGATCACTTAAAATTGAAAAAATTAATTTTACATTTTGAAAAAGTCATATGTAACAGATACATACTTTCTTATCATTAAGGTATCAAGAATTTGAATTTTCAATTTTTTATCTAATTATTGACAGTATCCAAATTTGTAACAAATTATATATTCTCATCCTGCATGATAATAATAGTGTATACCTTCAACTAGTAGATGTTAATCTTCCTATCGTATTTAATACATTGTCTTCTGTACTTTCATTAATTATTTCATTCATTACTTTCTGTACTTTATTAATTAATTATTACTTCATTAATTACTTTCTGTACTTTCATTTAGTTTCAGTTAATCCGTATTATATATAACTCAAATAAACAAAATAAAATAATCAAACTTAAACAAACTTAATAATTTCTCGCGTCAAAAAAAATTATATAAATATGTTTAAACTGTATTGCAAAAAATTTAGTATGAATTGTTTGTTGATATTTTAAATACTATTTTTTATATTAAAGTCTCATTATCACTCGATGATTTCAAAGCTGTTTTTATCTCTATTAATTCGTATAAAATATTCTTTTATACTGGTAATTTCTTTTTCTTAAGTTTTATTTCCTTTTTTTTTAATTTTAGTTTTCTTTCTTGTATTTCTAACATATTAGACGACATTGTTTGTATTGAATTTCCTAGAATTGAAAAAGTGAATGTCTTATTAGAAAATTTCTTATTAAAATGTATTAATAAGATACATATTAATAATAAAATATAAGATTATTTTTATTACATTAATTACCTCTTATTGTATTCTTTCTATTTACATTTGTATAAATTTTTCTTCGTTTTTCTGTGTCATTATGTAATGGTATATTTTCAATGTCTTCTATAGTGTTCTCTTGATTTCCATTATCTTCTTCAATTACCATGCATATATCTTGTTCTGCTGTTTCAGTTTCCACAACTTCTATACTTCCTGAAATAGGATTTTCTTCAGTATTAATTCCACCTTCTGGAATATTCTCTAATCCAGCTGCCTCTGGTGTCAACAATTCTAAAACTTGCTCTTCAAATACTGAGAAAGCTATTTTAGGAGGTGGTCCACCACCAGTCCCTTGTACGTAATTGCATCTTTTTGCTTCTTTTTTTAATATGTAACTTTTCATGTCTTTCCATGTCTATAAAGTATATTAATAACAAGGTTACTTTTATAATAATAAATAAATTTATTATTTAAATGTTACAAAATAGTTATCAAAAGTAAAATTATCTAAGCTTTGCCCATTCTTTACCAGATTTTTGAAGACCTTCGATAATTGTATTGATGCCTTGTGCAACTTCATCCCACAATTTAGACTAAAAATGTTATATTTTGTCAAATAATTATTTTTTTCTTACCGATTACTATAATACATTATATAATAAAATACTTTAAATTTACCAATTTTAATCGACTCTCGTTTTTTCTGTCTATTCTACCCCTCACTAATTCGGGATTGCGTTTTAAAAAATTTAATAACATTTCTTTTTGTTTCACAGTCACGTTCATTATTTTTTTTTTCTGTTATAGGTTATAAATGTTATAGGTTATAGATTATGAATTGCTCAGGGTCCGTGCAATATCGCTTCTTCTTCTTCTTGTGTGAATGGCCCCGACTCTATACAGCGTCGATACGGCCAGAATCGAAAATGCCGCTAACGCGGTGAGTAACAAAAGTCTAAAAGAGTGTAATGCATCAAATCACAGTCGAAGCCGGAAATGCTCTTCAAAAAATGTGGGCAAGATGATGCAATACCCGAAGCAGGCAAGACACACGTCCTGTTGCACGTTCTGATACGAACTATATCGTGCAATATCGCATATGTAATCGCGAAACGTGAAAAGTTTCACGTGAAATCTCGATGAGTGAAAAATGAAAAGTGAAAAGTGAAAAATGAAATGTGAAAAGTTTCACGTGAAAATACATGATTGACACCCTGAGCACGACCAATGTCCTAATAACCAGCCACAGGTGAGAGCGGGAACTGATTCAAAAGAAGAAAACTAAAAGACGCAGACCAGAGGACGAGGGGTCGGCCCGCTCTCAATCCGGCAAATGCCGGTAAATTTACGAAGGAGGCCAAGGCCGAAGAGGCCAACAGGGAGAAGGCGAGGCAGTTGAGGAGGGGTTACCGGATAATCTCCGATCCCGAGATGGCCCCCGCATCTGTCTCGGCCAAAAGGGCTGCCGAGAGGGCTGCTGAACTCGCTGAGTACGAGCGGCAGCCCCTCGAGGCAATAGCGGCCGTGGCCACTAGAGAGTTGGCCACGCTCGTCAAGGCCGTGGAGCGGTCCAAGAACATTGGGGGTGACATAGTGAGGGACTTGTGGGGGGTGTTCAGCGAGCTCACCGCAGCCCTCGCGGCCACCCTTAATCGGGCAGGCGACACCTCCGATGGAGGCTCCACGGCTGAGGAGAGCATCGACCGCTGTAGGGAGAGGGCCTGGGCGGAGGAGAGGAGGCGGCTCAAGGCCGAGATAGATCTCCTCCACCAGGAAAGAGAGAAGCGGAGGGAAGAGGCCAAGTGGGGTACAGGATCCCCCCGCCCCTCTCCCCCATTGCTCAAAGATCTGACGCCGGCCACTAGATTCAGGGCCGGCAACCGCAGGTCTAGCGGCGCCCCCGGGGAGCCCCCAACACCAGGGGCTACCTCCGGAGACGACGAGGCGAGGGTCCCGGTCGAGTTGACAGAGGAGGACCTGAGGACACCGTTCTTCAGGCCTCCTCTCCAGGGGGTTCGGAAACAGCTGAACCCCCTGGCGTCGGAGAGCGACCGAGCCTCGCCCATCGACCGGGCAATTATGCCCCTCCCCCCCTCAAAAGGAAGGGGGGGAAAAAGGAGAGGAGGCTGGCCGGAGGCGGCAGCGATGACGAGGAGGAGGGGAGGTTGGAGAGTGTCCTCTCGAGGCTCCTCCCCCGCCTCCTCCGCGAAATGGGGGTGGTCCCCAGGTTGGGGGACCAGCGGCCACGGACGGCCAGAAATGGGGGCGAAGAACAGCCCCCCGCCGTTCGGACCTCCAAGGTGGGGATGTGACCGGATTTGCTAGTGCAATTATTAAAATACCGGATTTTGAAATATTCAACCAATTAATTTATAGTCAGAATCACCTATGGTGTCTTACTTTTCGGTCGCCACTCTATTTAACCAATTAATAGAGAAGGATGTTAATCCAGGATGAACCTTGGAAATGGGCTCTGCGAGCAGGTCGTCCCTCATTGGCGACTTCCTTCAAAGCTCTGCTTCTATTGGCCCGTCGGTCGAGATGTCTGCTTGGCTGAATGCTGCCTTGTGTGAGGAACAGCGATGTGCGCACTTATTTATGTACTGGACGTGTTCGCGAAATAATACGAGAGGCACTTTTGGTGTAACGAATGTTAAAATATTTATTAAGAAAACACCAATAATTAACAATAAAGATAAAGGCCCTCATTCACGCTACGCACTCACTCACTTCAAATTCACACTATACTACGATCTCGCCTTTGTTACGTGATCTCTTTCTATCACGTGTTGTCGCGTCGCGTCGCACCTACGACGAATAACGGACATTCAAGATGGCCGCTCGAGAGGTGGCGTGGTATTGCATCACCTCGCGCAACAACGTACTTCGAGGTTACGTCGCCTCGATAAATTCGCGTAAATTCTACGCGTCGGCTGTACGGGAATCGTGCCGTGCACGTTTAATGCCGTTATTTGACGATTTATCGCCGATTTTCCGCACTTCGGCGGACACAAAGGATTTTCACCTTGTTTCGCGGTTTTATACGCTATTTTCGCGATACGCGATTTATTTATGACGTTAGGCCACGCTACGGTATCACCGGATACCTGGTTTGTAACGCTAAATGCCTTAAAACGCAATTTACGAGCCGCGCGCTTTGTAGACGTCCTTCCCGTCTGGATATCTAACAACGACTCACTCAGCCAACATGGCTGTCCTCGACGCCACGATGTCGAGAAGAAAGGGTCGGTTCTTTTTCCCGAAGTTGTTTCGGTGTTCCCGATTCTAGCTCCTTTCTAGTAATTTCATTCATACGGCCTGTTGTGGTTAATATAATGACAAATAATTAGGAGTTGTTCTCCTTAACACAAAATAATTGTGGACAAGCCGCTCTCATACATAATTCCGCGGTCAATTAAGTTTTGTCATTGGACAAATTCAGTATTAGCCTGTGATTGGTCGCTAATATTCTAAACCTTCAAATAATTATAAAACATATCGTAATAAAACAATATGACAATTAAAAAGGGCATAGAACCAATCTTTAAACAAAACGTATTTAATTAAATCAAATTAAAATCTCTAGATACAAACGTTTCGACTCCGATCGGGTCATTTTCAATGTT